AAGGAAAGAAAAAAGTTGGGCTGTGAATGACTGTCACCGCGGGGGGGGGGGGGGGGTTGTATGTTTAAAATTGTATTTGTATCTGTGTGTTTTACGCTTTAAAAAAATGTATAACTAATGAATGCCGATACAAAAGGCTGTATATTTACTTTATATTATTATGTATGTTTTGTCTTTTCTTGTATTTTTCTTTCTGTTTTTAAAGGTAATAATGTTTAATAAAAACTATTTAAAAAAAAAAGACTGTTACCATGCTTAGCATGGGTAACAGTCTTAATAGGCTTTGCCCCTCTCCTACGGCTCCCTGCTGATCCAATCACACAATCTGCTCTCCACCCCGAGAAGGCACGAGCCTCACGCCTGCTTTTGCGATTCCGCGTCCTTCGCAGGCAACTCAGTGTTGGGAAGAGCTCCAGCCCTTTGTTGCGCTTATCTCTTGCGTGCACATGCAAGCAAAATACCCTCCTGGGCCAGGATCAAGGCAGAGGAGACAACAACTCTCCTCCCGCTGTTGCCACTGCGCAATGAGGTGAGTAACTGGGTACACAGGAGACTCCTCAGCACCAGACTCAGATCAGCGCAAGCCGCAGTCCCCTTCATGTTGGCTCAGGAAAGAGGAGAATGGGGAGCAGCAGCAGCAGCTGGTTGGGTGCAGGGAGAGAGCTGCACAGGGCTATCCTTGTGCAGGACTCTGGAACTCTTCCCTCTCTGCATCCAGAGATGGCTGCTCCAGCTCTTTCCTGTGTCAACACGAGGGGACCGACCTGAGTCTGCGCAGCACAGCCAGCTACTCACTTCTCAGTGGTGGCAGCAGCAGAAGGAGTCACTGTCTCAGCCGCCGTGATCCTGGCCCAGGAGGGTATTTTGCTTGCACACGCAAGAAAGAGATGAAAGAGAAAAGGGGAGAAAGAGAGAGAAAGAGAGAAATGAAAGAGAGCTGGAAGGAGAGAATGGGAGGGAGGGAAAATAGAGGGAAACAAATTAGAAGCAGAAGGGGGAGAGGGAGAAAGAAATGGAAGAAAACTGAAGGGAGAGAATGAGAGAGAGGGAAAGGAGAGGGAAACAAATCAGGGAGAAAAAAAGGAAGAGAAAAGAAAGAAAGAACTAACTTTCTCAGACCTACGACGAAAGTAATGGCAAGCTAGATATCTTGCAAAGATAACTGCAGTTTGCCAGAAGGCACAAATTGGAAGCAGGTCTGATGTTTTAAAAAGAAAATAACAGAGATGGCAAAAAAATTGCATCTGAAAATAAGATTATAATTTTGGATAACGTATTATATTGTCAANATCTGAAAATAAGATTATAATTTTGGATAACGTATTATATTGTCAAGCTCAAAAGAAATTAAAATATATATCCTATTGCTGTTAGTACAATCTTGCCAGCTTCTATCAACTTAGAACTCTGAAAAGATTACAGAGAAGCAATTTCCTACAATTAATAACTTTATTTTGGATTTGCTATCATATTCAATGAGAAAGAAAGAAAAAGAAAGAGGGAAAGGGAGGGAAGGAAAGAAAGAAGAGAAAGGGAGAGGAAAAATAGGAAAAACAGAAATGAGAGGGAGGGGGAGAGAAGAGAGAGAGGCCCTATTCTCACAGAAAACACTGAGCCATGAAACCTTGGTAGGCATTTCTGGGGGGGATGTCATGTGACTGAGTGGGAGTGATGTTGAGTGGGCCATACCCACCCATGTTTTGTGGCTCCCGGTGTTACATAGTAGCAACAAAAATAATTTTATGGTTGGGGGGGTCACAACATGAGGAACTGTATTAAAGGGTCGTGGTGTTAGGAAGGTTGAGAACCACTGAATTAGAGCTTAATCTTAAAAGACGTGAAGACACAGCACAAATCTTTAGCAGCAGTATGAAAATGACTGACGTTAATTGGAATGAAGCAAATAAAATAATACTAATAAAATGTCACACCTGGACAGAAGCAGGATGCATGGTTAAAATAGTACTGGTTGGAGTATTATCTGCAAAACTGACCCAGTTTTCTTGATGCGGTGGAGGTGAATGGCCAGACCACACTGGATCACCGGAATTACAGGAGCCTAAAAATCAGAATGCATGTCAGTTTCAAAATCAGTATAACAGTCTATTCAAGAAATGTTTTGTCTTCTCGGTAACCTGATAATTGTGTTAACCATTATTACTACAAAAATTGCTTAGCAAGGCTTGGTTTCCTAATCTGACAGTCAGACATGTTACAATTTGCAGTTTTCTAGAAGAACAAATTTGAATGTAATAAATTAGGCATCCCAAATCTGAATGTGTAACAAGAGCAGTGAATGAGCTTACGACTTACTCCTAATAAACAAAACTTCAATACAGCAACGATATAGTCAGAGATACTTTCTGTAATAAATATCAACCAAACCATGGTTGCAATGGGTGATTCTTTAACTAGATAAGAAACTTTGGAGTCTTTTTTGATGACACAGTGTTGGGTGTTTCCTAGTTCAGTAGAATAAAACTAAAATTCCCTGGTTGTGTTAACTATGAAACCTCAAATCTGAGGAGTCGATTCAAAACGTATGCCAATATTTTCTATCAATTTACCACCATTTTTTTCACAAAACTTTTAATTTTCCATAGACAAGGAGCTACAAAGGACAGAAGCATTACAAATCTGGGTTTCAAGCAAAGACTAAGAAACATGTTCCCATATTCACCCAAAAGCTGTTTCAGTTTGCCCTGATTGTTCCACTGTGCCTGGGGTTTGTACTCTAAAAGGAATTAACTAACCTGGTCTCGCCTTCCTGCAAAATAGGGAGCACTATAAAAATAAGGCATCATCAAGCCCATACTAGTGCCTAGTTAAGTATATAAAGACATTTAAAATCTGGGTTTAGAAAAGATAGCCACAAAAAATACAGTATTTATATAGTCAGTTTAAATTGATTTTTTTAAAATTTAAATAGTGGATTTCTTTTTGCTAATGTGCTTTTTAAATTTTGATGTTAAAATTGAAGTTTTTGCATGAAAAATAAATATAATAAAGAAAAAAGTTTTGTTTTTTTAAAAAAACTTTTCAAGGAATTTTAGCTAAAAAAAGAAAAAAGTGAAATGATTGACAAGATCATCAATGATTTCAGTGAATGAATAAGATGAGAATTAAATGAGAGACTGAGGGATTTCTGCAATAGTTAAAGAGAAAGGGGAGATGATGAGTTTGTTTCTTTCTTTTTGCTAATATCAACGACAAGGACATACTTTCACAAATGAAATATGGGAAGGCTGGAATTCTACAAATAAAGAAACTTTAAAAAATAAACTAATCTATCCTGTGGTGGTAAGACAGTTGAAATTTCAACAAATGCTGCAAGTACTGAGTACTGGATTGTAAGTGAAAGAGAAGTCTTTATCATAACTTTTCACAATAAGGTGAGAAGATGCACAGATCTAGGCCTAGGTTTTTTAGTTCTATTTAATTCTATTAAAGCCTATAATTTTATTAGGTAACAGAATTTAATTCTATTTCAACCCAACCTTTCTTAAATTTAGGTGTAACATTATAACCAGATGAAGGCATTTTTTTCTAGAGAAACCTTGTTAAAAACTTATGAAAAGTGTTACTTCAATACATAAAATAAAGCTTATTCCCGAGTGTGGAGAAAACTGCATTATGTCTCAATTATCTTTTAATTATTATCACTTCCTCATCTGCCAGCAGCTTTATAGAATATTATACATATTTATCTGAGTAAGTCTGAAAGTCTTAGGCAGACCAACTTGAAATTCGGGGGTGAAAATGGGCAATAAATATATGACAAAATAACAAATGACATCCATTTTCAAGATCTCAGTTTACCCATCTGAATCCCATCTTATCTGAAATAAGATATAATGAGTATGAGGACATACTCATAAAGACATTGCACTTAAAAACATGTTACAACTACAAAACTGAACTGGGCTGACATATGTGTTTTGGTCCATGCAATGTAGTAACCCTAAATATGAGTTCATACTATTCCTATGTTCACATTACATATTATGCCCAAACACATAAAGAATATTGTGCTTAACATGATGCTTGATTTCACTAACATACTAAGATAGTAGTTGTACTCCCACCACACACTGAATGACAAACTATTCAACTCCATTTTGGTTTTCTTGTAAAATTCAACTCAGATGTTGCAAAATTGAAATTACAGATAATTCTTAACTTACGATTGTAATTGAGCCCAAAATTTACAATCATAAATCATTGTGGTTGTTAATTAGGTTACATTACTGTGTTCAATTTTATTACCTTTTGGGGTAGTCATTAAGTGAACATCAGAGTCATCATGCAAATCCATTTTATCCAATGGGCTTTTTTTAAAAATGAAAACCAGAAATAAATACTGGAAACTGGCAAAAAAATATCTGAAAACTTGTTGCCATGAGACTGCAGGATGCTGCAAACAGCCATATAAGTTAGCTAGTTGTCAAGCACCCAAAATGTAATCATTGGCCCGTGGGAGTTTGTGAGCAGCCATAGTACTTTAAAATCAGGTTGTAAGTAGGTTTGGGAGGTCCATTGTAACTCTGAAAGGTCGCTAAGCAATCAGCCGTAAATTGAAAAATATCTGTAACAATGGAATAAAGATATCCACTGCTCTAACCTATGTGAAAAAAGAAAGATATAAATATCAATGAATTAACTTTACTTCGTAATTACTGAAGTAGAATATATTAGTTTAATTATATTCATTTGGGGCGCTATCAAATTAGGGATTTCACACTGTTTACATCCCTGAAACCATTCAACTCCCTACTCATTTGTCAATATATTTGTCGGATGTCAAGAAGTGGGTGGTGTATGCTAAATCCAAACCAAAGGGATTACATTAAGGATTATGTGATATGCAGATTGTGACAGCAGGCTACAGCAAACATTGTTAGCCTGTTCAAATTGATGCCGACCATTTCTCTACAGTTTTAAGGAAAGATAAGGTAGAGTTGGAGGAATTACAAGGAAACTGAATTTAAAAGTGATGCAAATATGTAACCTCTCTTGCTTGTTTGGGCTATTATCTACATTCTCTTCTGTGGGCTTCAGTTGTTTAGTGAAGCAGCATGTGCCTATCATAAGGGCAAATAATCTAACTTCAGAGCCTTCTGTTTGTTATAAATCCCTTATTCCAGAACAGCTTGCCAAGATCAGATTGTGTCTTTTAGTGCTGTCTCTTAGGAAAGACTGCTTTTTCACAGTGCCTATGGGCAAGATGCCTCCTACATAAAAGCAATGACATTTTATTAGAGGCTGGTCAGTATAAAGCTGTTTATATTATTTTTATCACTGTCTTTTTATATCTGCTTTTATTATATTGGGAATGTAAACCATCTGCAATCTTTGAGTAGGTGGCATAAGACTATTACAAAGGTGAGATGCAATATCCTCAGTCTTAACAAGAAAGTATAAGCTAACTTAACAATTGCTTAATAGAGTCATGGATAAAAATATATGGTATGTTCAGATTGGAGCCTAAACTTATTACTAGTCAGTGCTTCAAGGTAGACATCATAAAATTCTATAATTCTACTCCATGGATAACAGAATATAGTAACAGAGTCTTAAATTTTGGTTTCTCCTCCCTCCCTCCCTCAAGAGTGTCAAATGGGGTGATCTTGAGTTTCCTTCTCATACCTTCCTGTTTCATAGGCTAGGTTTATGTTTCTCCAATGGTTGCTGCATATTTTCTCTTTGGCAATCTCTATACCCCGCTCCCTCTCTCTCTCACACACACAATTGCATTGCATCTAATTGCAATGCAGTTAGCAAGCTTTTCCCTAATGGAAAAAAGAGGAAAATCAGAATCAAGACTTTAAACATATCAAGCAGTTTTGTGTAGCGCTGTATATGCAGGCATATAACAATTGAGACATTAACATAGGAAATATTTTATAGTAGTACAGTATCTGACCCCGAAAAGGGAGGTGAATGGTAAGGGGATTGTAGAAACAAGTGGGATTCAGAGATAAATGCGGGTATGTGTATCTTTTCTTTATTAATTTATATCTATATTCAGCATGAAAATCAGGCATAATTAGCCGTTATGAAAGGGAGAGAAAGAGAGGGGAGGGGGGGGAGGAAGCAAAAGAGAAGGAGGGGGAGGAGAACAGGGAGAGAGAGAGAGAAAGCTTGCTTTCAAGCTTTTCCTTGAAAGCACAATATGACATGTCTATGTGGATAACAAAATAGGCTGGTAGAAGTAACATTTTAAAATTCATAGCTAACCTAGATAAGTTTCATTTGAGTCAAAATCCAACTTCTGAAGATTTAATAAAAACACAGGTTTCTTGGAAACTTTATGAAATACTTAAGTAGATTAATTCAATATTTTTTTGCCATCTGGCATGCTCTGATGTCAGCTTCTAGTTTACCTACACACACACACACACACACACACACACTTCAGAATAAGTGAAAGATTAACACTCTTTTTGCTAACCTAGCAAGAGTGTAATAGCAAAATTATTTACACTCAAAGAGATGTTGATATGGAAATTTGACATGAACAATGTCCCAGATTAAGATCTTGCTAAAATATTATTCTTTAATCTGCTCAACAATTTGTTTAAAAATACATTATATATTTTGCTACAGAAAGGGTGTGAATCCTCTTTTCCTCTTTAGAATACATACAGGAAAAACCCCCAGAGCCCTGAAAAATCCTGTACACCTCTTGGATGTACTGGCTAACCTATTTAAAGTTCCTCTAATTTTCTGTGGGTAAGTAAAAGGGATAGGGAGAGGGGGGGAGAAGTGGGGAGACAAATAAGTCTGCATTTTCTAATCTTTATACTGTTAGTCCTTGACTTACAACCACAAATTTTCTGTTGCTAAGGCAAGACATTTGTTAAGTGAATTTTGCCCCATTTTATGACTTTTCTTACCACAGTTGTTAAATGAAATTGCAGTTATTAAGTTAGTAACATGGTTGTTAAGTGACTCCAGCTCCCCATTGACTTTGATTAGAAGGTTGCAAAAGGGGATCACATGACCCAGAACACTGCAACCATAATAAATATAAATCAATTCCCAAACATCTGAATTTTGAACACCTGACCACGGGAATGCTGCAATAGCCATAAGTGCAAAAAATGGCCATAAGTCACTTTTCTCATGCTGTTCTGTTTCAGTTTTATTAAACTTGTATGCCGCCCTATTCCCAAAGGGACTCAGGGCGGCTAACAAACCGATAGGGAAACTTTCATTCATCACTTTAAATGATCACTAAATGAACTGTTGTAAGTCGAGGACTCCCTGTACATTTGAATTTGGATCTGTGAAATTGAAAAAAAGAATAATTTGAACATTTCTGAGACTGCAGTATTTACCGGTATCAAGCAAGCAAAGAATTTTATTATCATCTGCTAAAAATAAATTATTCTAACCAGCCAAATAACTGCAGTAGATTTTATCTTCCAGAGGCCACTTCATTTTTTGCTTACTGTTTTTTTTTTTTAAATTAACAGTGGATTTAGGAAGAAAAGTCAATGTTGGGGAGAAAAATAAGCATTTCTCATATACAACTTTCTATATTCCCCATAGTTAATTTTACAAAAAAAAAGCATGGATTCTGACACTAGAAAGATGCTTTTTAGCAAGTAATGTGAACATGGGAAGTAGATCTATTAAAAAAGAAAGAAAACAAAACAAAACAAGGATGTAAAAACTCTTGATTGTGGGTTACTTGTTCCCCCTTGCTGCAATAATTTTCAAGTCACTGCAGTGGTGTAATGATGTGATAGAAGGAGAAATTATGAAATATATGGCCATTAACATTTAACTGTAATTCACTTAAATTACATGCAATTTATTTTTTGTCCTGGATCCATACACTTTTTAAAGTACAGTCCTTGATACACTATAATAAAAGACTAAGTCTGGTTTCCTTCATTATAAAATGTATTCTGTATGATAAAGATATATTAGTTGCCGTAACTGTGCAGCAGGGTAACTAATATTCTGTTCAGTTAAAAATTTAAATGCCCTGGTATCAAATTGTACATACATGAATCAGCAAAGGGAAATTTAATTTGGAAAAACTAGTGTACTTTATTCCTAGTAAAAGCCCGTAGTACTGCTGCTGTCTGGTTTCCTTTACACTCATGCCCCTCCAATCTCCCTATAACACTCTTCTTACTATTGTGGTGGCTGATTTAAAATGGATCAAGTACTGTACAAAGGCCAAGACGTCATAGCACTAGAAAAATAGTATAACCAGAAGTATTATTTATACCCTTAGTCCCCCAAAATAAGCCCTCTCCGGATAATAAGCCCTATCGGGCTTTTGAGGACATACGCTAAAATAAGCCCCCGAAAATATTGCAACATAGCAGCAGCCATGAGGTGACCATGGTCACTGCTCCTGCCCCTCAAAAATAATAAGATCTCCCCAAAAATAAGGCCAAGCACTTAATTCGGGGTTCAAAGAAAATAAGACCATGTCTTATTTTCAGGGAAACACGGTAGTAGTTAGTTATTACTATAACCATAAGTGCTATACTGATGTTTTTTCCTCTCATCCTTCTCTACTCCACAGACAGGAGGGAGACACAAATCTCACACACTTAGAGTGCGATGATTGATTGATTAAAGGCACACCTTTGGAATTAGCAGGAGGAACATGGTTGCCTAATCCTGGTATATTCTCTAGGGTCAACAATAGTTCATAGAGATAATCCTGAGAGCAGCTGTCTTTCCTACCCCCACCCCCACCCAGAAAGCGGCATGGTTTCCAAACAGTAGAAACATTATTATGCAGGTCCAGATAAAACAAGGGACAGGCACATGATAAAGTGGCATGACTGGTTATTGTCATTTATGAATTTTTCAGCAAAAGACTTGGCTTCCCTCAATGCACAAATAGCCAGGAAGTATATAATATCTGTGTGATATTGAACTATTCAAGCGCAAAAAAAGTTGAAGTAATAAAGAATCAAGCATTATGTGGACACTCTGTAGAGCTCCTTTGAAAATAAATAAAGAGGATTGTCTCACTGATTTCTGAGAATGAGAAAGGATGGGAGTTTGCACTGGTGCAGGGAAGAAGGTAAAGATTATTATCACTAGTGTTGGCATTGCCTGAAGTGTGTGTATTCAAGACATGAAGTACAATGAAAGTAACTTTTGTGCATATCACATGCAAGTCCACCCCATTTTAGAGGCAGGCTACCTCAAATCACTGAAATCCCTAATCAGTTATTAAATTGTCTGAAAGGAGTTTCACAAGCCCAAACAATGCAAGAAGATATTTCTTAATACCTGATTGTGCTTCATTAAACGGCGCCCAGAAAGGCCCTGGTCCAGCAACAGATCGTTCATTATTTCCTCCACTAGGATGGCGGCTGTGTTTCCTCCATGAATGGGGAGAGGTTGGTGGAGACTGCTGTGGTGAAACGACTGGAGATGTAGACTCCTAAAAATAAAGCAAACTAATAAGTGCTGAAACATATTTGTAAAAATCTCTGTTCTTAGGTAAAAACCAGTATCCCAGAAATGGATTTCTATTTATATGATTTGTTCCCTTCCTTCCGTCTGCTCTGAACCAGATTACGAGTAGTCCAAAAGTGATTTACAAGTGGTGCTTACACTTACAACAATTTCAGTGTCCTGCAGATATGTCATTGCCATTTGTAATCTTTCCAGCTGATTCCAACAAGCAATCAATGGCATCACCAGCAGGAGGTTGCTAGTTGTAGTCATGTGATGCTTTACTTAACAACCATGGATGAATAACTTAACTACAAAGGGACTGCCACTGCTAACTGGAATGGTCACGTGTGGTTTCCTTAACAACCACCTTATTTAGTGGTAGAGTTGCCAATCCCAATTACAGTCATTAAGTGAGGACTACTTGTATGACGGTACATGGGAAGCTTCAGGGAATGAATTCTTTTAGTCCTTTCACTTTATCTAGAAGAAACTGTTTCTGCTACTGAATATGTGAAGCTGGATTTCACACAAGATATAATTTTATTAGAATAGGTTGACATGTTTTGAAAGGGACAGGTCCTATTTTTTTGATTGCAGTACAGCATTACATGAATAAATTAATATCTCCTCATCACTGAACAATTAAAATACTCCTCCAAACAATGACAGATGAAACTATTAAGACAACAGCAATTGTCAAAGATTCTTGTGGAATCAAATTTAGTTCTCTTAATTGAGAAACAAATGAATGAAGCAAGCAAACAAACAAAAAACTACAGGGAATTACATACTGGGTGAAAAGTCATGCTGCATGAACCAATTACCACTTGAGGCTTTTCTTTGCCCCTTTTCAAGCAAAATCTGCTCAAAAGATTGGACAGTCCTTTGAAACAGACGTTAAGGGTGTGACAAAGAAGGGAGAACTGCTCTAGTCTAGCTTTCTTGATGAAAACCATTCCAACAATGTCTATGGAGATTCTCCGTCATCCAGGTCATGATTGTCCCAAAGGTGCTTTTTCAAGAGGCAACTGGACTTTCCCGTTTTTCTTTGAAGATGTTTCGCTTCTCATCCATCCCCTTCTTCAAAAAGAACTGAAGAAGCTTCGTGGATGATAAGTGAAAGAATGGATTTTACTCTGTACATGAAACATTCACTAAGGATAGTAGTTTGTACTCAAAAGTTCTGCAGAAATAAAATCTTCAGAAAAGTTTCTCATTCTAATTTACAGCAGTTCAAAGCTGTCTGATACTCAATAGACAGAGTATCACTACAATTTTTCCAGCATTTACTCTCTTATTGCAATTGTTCTCCATCACACTTGTGGGGGAGAGGTGACAGGAAATACTCTTTCAAGAATATCTTTCTGTTAACACAATCTCTGGATCAAGCCCAGCTTGTTCAGACATGCTTGATTCCAAAGCATTCAGTATATACATTTAATGGAATTATATTACATGTTCTGCTGTCAGCACCATATACAGAAAACAGTTGAATGCATAATTTTAATACAAGTTAATCTGTCATCTCTATGATAAAGGTTTTCAGTTGAAGGCAGTCAGATGAAAAGTAATCAATAAAGGCTGCCTATATTTAGCAATCTGTTCTAAGCAAGGTAAACAACTTGTTCGAAACAGTATTACTATGGATACATGAATTAGGGCTCTGCAAAGCCTTCCAAAGAGGTATTTTTCTGTGTGGGAACATGTATGTAGGAAGCATCTTTCCTGAAATAATTAAGAGTTATTTACAAGAACTGCATTCTTCCTTACAAAATGTCTCAGACCAGTTGTGTCTAATCCGTGGTTCATGGGCCATATGCAGTTCTTGACAGCTAGTAATGAGGTACCACAAGATCATAAAAGTATAAAAATAATGAAGTTTTATATACATTAACTATATTATATATTTTATATGCGGCTCAAAAAAATATTCTTTTTGCTCAAGCCAGGCAAGCCAAAAGGTTAGATACCATGTCTTAGACCTTGACGAACCAACTAAAATGGCACTCAAGATCATCAGAGAACAAACTACAACTTCTCAATAGAAATGAGATAGCACAAGATTATTATTATTATTCAAATATATGGATAGCTGGAAAAATGGCATTTAAAATAATGGTTAAATGTATTGCTTAAACAACAGAAAGATTAGTAACTGAAATCCCTGGTACTATTGCCTGGTACACAATTTCTTACACAAGTTAAAATAAATTTGACTATTGTTCTTTTGCAACTATTGTTCTTTTTAACACATCACAGAAATAGACCAATTTCGTTGTATTTAAATACAATGACAATAAAGATTATACTTACTTAGACATGAAATACACATGTACCCATAAGCCAGCCTCTAGATTGCATTACCTGTTGATCTGTAGCTGGACGTTGCTGAACTATATCATGGCTCACAGAGCCCTTTTTAGCTTGTATTCTGCCTGGTGGAGGAGGAATTGCACCTGAATAGGAAGATGAGTTATCAGCATCTGAAGAATATAAGGATGAATGCCTTAACTCTTGCTCATTCTTTGACATCACAAATCGGGGTAGGGGGAGGTCTTTGACTGTCAAAATAAGATGACATGGATTAAGAAACTTATATTACAAAATTCCTTTGAGCAATAAATTAAAATATAATTTTACTTTGAGCTGTTGCTAAAATTCTTTGTTAAATCATATTGTATTACTATAAAAATAACTAAGATTGTGACAGTTCAGTCAAGAGCCAAGGAACAATTAACTTTAGTATCAGTATTTTCAAATATAGAAACATCAATACAGGTAATCCTCGACTTAAAACAGTTGATTTAGTGACTGTTCAAAGTTACAACACTGAAAAAAAATGACAAGACCGTTTTTCAATTATGATCTTCATGGTCACGTGATCAAAATTCAGACACTTGGCAACTGGTTCATATTTATGACCGTGGCTGTGTCCCAGGGCCATGTGATCCCCTTTTGTGACCTTTTGACAAGCAAAGTCAATGGGAAGCCAGATTCACTTAAGAACCAGATTACAAACTTATCTACTGCAGTGATTCACTTAACAACAGAGTCAAGGTGGTAAAATGGGCAAAATTAACTTAACAAATGTCTCACTTAATGTCAGAAATTTGGGGCTCAAATGTGGTTGTAAGTTGAGGAATACCTGTAGTTTAATCTAAATATAAAATTTAAATATTATAATAGGGATAATTCATTTTCAAAATTTCCTGAAACTTTAAACACATATTTTTATTATTTAATATTTTGTATTTGTTTGTTAACAAACATCAAAAGGCATTTAATTCATAAATATAGATACAAAAGTAGCTTCCATGAAATAAGAAAATGTAACTTTTAATACAATGTACAAATATATGTAGTTTTGAATCACTTTTGTCAATACATAAATGAACAAGTTTAATGTTTTTGAGTCATTTGTTTAATTGGGATCTCTTGATCTAGTTTTAGGACTTGTGGGTAGAACAGATGATATTTTAGGTCACATTTATGCAGAAATATTGAAAATTCAAAAGGATCCACAAACCTTTAAAAAACCCTGTGTGTATTTGCATCTAAACAATAAGACATGGCATCTTAAGATGATGTATCACAGTAACTTAAGCTTACTTGTAATATTACAACTTCCCAAATCCAAATTTAAAGCATTTTAAAGCCTTGACTAACTAAGCTGGTGAACCTCAGGAAGAGAATGAAAATAGTTTCAACTCAGATTCATCTATTAATGGAACAATTGATGCTTATTTTAACAGCAAGCTATCAAGTTTGAAAAGTGTAGTGTTGCAGCTATGCCCTTACTCCTCAATAGCATTTTTAAAAATATTTAATCCACTGCAGAAAAAATTATATCTAATGAGGTATCACAATCTGGGCTTTTAGCTTGATAATTCCAAAAGCACATCAAGCACATAACAGCATAATACCTGAGTAGCCAGGTATTAGAATGCACAGATGTTTCTCTGCTTGTGCTTTTTTTCACCTGCTTCTATACTTACTAACAATGAATTGCAGAAATCTTATTAGGCATTACTATTTCATTCTTCTATAGGTTCACTTATTTATTCCTATTTCCCACTACAGGAAAAATGATTAAATAAGCACCGACTTTGAGAATAAGTTAAAGTGAAAATCAGGCCAAGCTATTTGACATTCCTTTTCATATTAAAAACAAAATTCTGCATTTTCCCTTACACTTAAAAATGCATGACAATTTAAGGCTGAAAGGTTTTTGTGTGTGTGTGTGTGTGTGTGTTTACATACATGTAAGAAGTCAAACTCGGCTTTCTTTTTTTTTTGTTTTGTTTTTTTGTTGCTCAAAAGCTGGAATTCTGTGATTGTTCCACTTTCTTGTGACAGTAAGAACACTAACACAAGCCATGCGTGAGACACAGTTTTATGAGTTCCTTATTTCATTTTTGAGGAACTAGCCCAGTAATATATCATAGTCAGATAACAGGCATATTTTTAAATTTAATTTTAATATTATTTCGAGGCTTACCAGAATTTAAACTTTCCATTCGTAGTGGAAACCCAGACTGAGCCACTGCAACAAGTTTCAAAGCAATGTAGAATTGGCTTCTTCCGAAGTATCCAAGTCTAGTTGCACCACAAAGTTCCATGATCTACAGACAGATCAATATATATAACGTGAGATTGTATCTGTCTATAAAGCTTAGTATTAATATATGCATTCTATCAAAGGAATAAATAATTCCAAAATACAAAGTTAATGATACTGAGCCATTTCTCAATAGCTACATATTGTAATAAGATAATTTGGCAATGCATGGGTGCATATTACTTGTTATTAATTTCATCATAGATAATATGCATGCAGCACTGCACAGTGTGGTCATGCATTTCTAACTGTAATGAAAAATTTGGCAATCTTAAATGCACGTTTCAATAGCCACTGATTCAAAGAAAATAAAATCCAGAAAAAAGGAAATAGAATGAATACCTATAGGTGTCTGAAATCATACGAATGTTTACTACAAATCGCCGCCCATTGTTTAGCAATGATTCTGTTCTCCAATAATGCTAAAATATTATAAGGTACTAATTTACAAGTTTCTGCTCAATATTTAACTTAAGTATGCTTTATGGCACTTAACAGTTCATATTCAGTGAAATATCTTAATTTTGCCAGTTTGAATGCTAATACCCAATATTTGTTGCGGCAATATATTTTGCTGTTTCCACCAGAAAAAGAACCTCATTTTTTATTAATTCCTGAGAATCTCAACTTCAGTTTTTAATCACAAATTTTTCTGACAGCAGCATGCTGTAGAAGCAAATCTACCAGAAACAATTTGTAATGATCTGACTGACAATATCAAACATCAAGTCAATTAGCTATGGGAACCATTACTGCTCAGCAACTTCATTGAAAATTTGGTTTTAAGCATTCTGGAATCTGTCATACCAGATAAAAAGCTGGGTACTGAAAACCTGAATTATAACAGTTGTAATAAAACCGATGGAGTTTGGTTTGATTTAATTTTAAAAGGTTCCAGTACACCAAAAGGTTTACACACACACACAAATTTAATATAAAACAAAATGGTTTTCTGATGCAACATAGAAAGGGTAGAATACAATATGTCTTGCTGTGACAAAATATATTTCACAGGCTTGTCCATTAAGTCATCAGTCATCAAGTTCAACTTGGAGAGGTCTTTATTTTAGCTAAGAAATACCACTGAATTCCTAGAGACAGCAGAAAAAAGGACTATCTGTAAGAGGTGTTTATTTTATCCCAATATGACTAGTAGACTACAAGCAATCTCTATTCTTGTGTAAATTCAATCTCTGCAACCATTTGTACAAAAGCTGCAAATGAATGTATAATAGCATTGCAGGATTAGGCACATTAAGCAAGATTAATTCAATCCCATAAAGTCCCACAATATTTTGAACTGAAAATTGAGATAACTATGTTTTTTCAGACTTTAAACGTAGTATTGATTCAAAGTTTTTTCATTAATTAGTTGATAAATGCTTTAAAGACAAGAGTCCCTAGGTAAGTAATTTCTTCATATTCTTGAATTCTTTTTGTAATATGTAAAATGCAGACATTAATTGTATCTTAATTTAGAGTAACTATATTTATATTCTAGATTTTTTTAAAAAAATGTTATCATAAACAAGGCAGTAGTATCTGAAACAGTATCTCAATAATTGCAAGAAACCCATGTGCTATAGTCATGTATAGCTCATACAGTTCTAATTCAAATAGCACCTAAACATGATACAGCATTTTACATGACTACTTACTGCATCAGAAGTACCCATAGCTGTACAATTTTCTAAAAATACCATTAAAAGAAATTCTTTACATTTGAACCTTAAGCAAATTTGTTTTTTACATATATTAATAGCTGTTATTTGAATTAGAACTTGTTTTTACATACATTAAACAAGTTAGGGAATAGACATACCAACCATGGATTCTGGATCTTTTGCCCAATCCCTTAACAATAGCTTTGTTGTAATTCATTCTAAGCAGGGATCTTAGGATGGAAAAGCTGGAAACATTGTGAGACATTGTCGTACTGTCTTATAGAAATGCAATTGAGGATTTTTTCTCCCTGGATATTTTTCTACATAGTTCTTAGCTACATATGGACCTTTCTTTAAAGACCTGGACTCTCTTTTATCAGGTTCTTCATCCCTGCAAGATGTGGTTCACTTTTCAGAAAGTTACTCTGCTGATGAACAAATAGAGGGCATGGTGGTCCAGTTGCCTTTACATAAAAATAAAATAAAATTTTATACACTTCTACCCACCAATCACTCCATACAGGTAATCAAATACTTAATCTATGAAGTTCTAACAGAATGCACTTAACTTCCTGCTCACATGAAACTGCCTAAGCTTCCACTACATTTTCTTCATAGAATAGAAGCGATGGATACCTAATTTGATCCCATTTTTATTTTCCATAATACCTGTTTTGCATTACTGATAGGCTAAAAAAAGGGCATAGTCCAAGCTTCCTTTTTTTATTCCACTGGGGTTCTCTGTTAATCATTTTTCTACTGCATGCTTTCTTTTCAACTAGATTCCAAAAATGAAAGATAGTTTACTTATTGATAGTTCACCTTATTTAGAACTGAATCTTAGGCAATAACTGGCTTTGTATCAAAGGTAAAACAGTATTTATCGGTAGTATTTCTCTCCATTCTGAGTACAAGCACAAACCATATGAAATACTACAGCAATCAGTGAAGCAATCATTACTTGAAATGTTTCACAGCTAAAAATGATGTGGGCTCATGGACATTTATGCAATATGCATTACAATGAGGTGAGTTAAAGCTAAATGTAATATTCTGAATCAACACAAGAGAAATTCTAATTTTTTGGGGGGGTTGTTAAATTTTGTCAAGTTTTTGTCCTAGCACACTTCTCTGAATGTTTTATGAAGTGTGCAATTTGCCATGTCAAACTTTTAAAAACTTCATTGTAAACAATTAAAACACAGCAGAAATGTATATGTATCTGTTTACGAGTCAGAGCAGCATCTATTTTGACTAATATACATATATATTTTGACTAATTTATAAATGTATCATAATTTTCATATATGAGCATACATGGCAAACAGTCACTCCACATGCACATTTATTAAATTTCAAAGTCAGGGGCTTTTCTAAAATAGAAAAAGCAATGAATCAAACGATCTAATAGATTTGAAAAACATAAAGAACTTATGCTGATGAGATATCATAAAGAACTCTGAGTACTAACTCACCTTTACCAAAAACAAATTCAGGAACACAATACTACCTTGAATCGTAATAGGCAGCCTACTGCCCATTAGGTGCTTTGGACATTATTCTTTTTACAGTATGGCCAAAGGCAAAAATGTTTGTGGTAGATATAGTCCAAAGTACTTAGAGGGCATCTGGCTACATATGTGGACTTAAAAAGGTCTAAATGAAAAACAATGCTTAAAATGTACTTAAAAACAAAAACAGGTTCCCCTCTCAAAAGACGGGAGCTAACATTTACAATGAACACATACAAAACAATAAACATAGCTACTAATCTTCATAATATAAATGGTTATTGATAAAAGTGATAAGCTGGAAAATAAAAACAGAAGAACATATACAATGTGCTTGAATAGTGACAGAATTGAATCTATTTTGACAATTACAGAAGGTGTGGATCTCATTCAAGTTTAACTAAAGCTCACCCCCCTTTTAAAACAATTGTATTCATTAGCAAATTCAGCAAGTTTTGTCAAAAAGTTATCTTTTAGACATGTTCCAGTTAGTCAAGATTCAAGGCCATGTTCATTTCATACAAGGGGCAAAGCAGTCCTCTCTACTTGTTTGTTGGCAACAGTTGTGTAATACACAGTTCAGGCTTTCAATAGATTAAAACAATGTAACACAACATCTACTTACTAACCATATCATTAATAGATAAATTTGTTTTGCCTCATGAGAGCCCTGCCACAGCATGCTAAAATACAGTACACTGCCGGCTTTTTATTTGTTCAAGTTAAGGAAATAATACTGTCCAAAAGAGTTGGAAGCACTAATTGTCACTGACCTACTTAAATTTTCAATAACTTCAAAAAGAAGTTGGGCTGCATTCTACATTTAATTTAAAAAAATGAGGCATTGATACAGGTTAAGGACAACTACTGCTTCTTACTTTGGGATAATAATCAAATGATGATGATGATGAAGTCACACCAATGACTTCACACTTATGAAACCCAAACCACTGAATGTCTTTGTGCAAACTAGTGAAATGAGCTAGTGGAATAATGAAAAGTTCAGCATATCAGACTGGCAAAGGCAGTATTATGCCACTTTCTATGAAGTAGAAAAAGTGTTTTTTTTTAAATATTTAGTATGGTTCCACCCTTCCAGAAAGAATCCAAGGCAAAAAAAATTGAAAACAGCTGCACTAAATTTCAAAACATACATTCCTAACCTATAAGGTATAGTTTACCTAGCTAAGCCAACTTATCTAGCTAAGATTATAATACTAATGAAGTAGAAAAAAAAGGCAAAATGTTGTTTCTGGACAACATTTAAGTTTAAGCCCTACTTCCACTCAAAAGTTATAGGGGAAAAAAGTCTTGCTGAATTCTAAATTCCTTGGAAACACCTACCTTCATATTTATTTTCCAATTCAATGGTTTCCCCAGTTTATCACTTTTGCGGAAGATTTAAAAAACCCAAACCAAGCGATTAACGTCATACCTTGCGTTTTGTCAAGTGCTGATCTTGCAACAGGGAAAGAAGTGCAAAAGTGCTCGAGAGCCTTGGGGGGCTGCAACCGAAGAAGCACCCGCCAGCTTTGCACTGCCTGCCTCGCTCGGCGGTGCATTTGCAGAAACGGACCCGCTTTTCCTTAAAAAATTCAACCCCCCCCAAGCGACCCTCCCTCAAAAGCCTCGAGGGGAAGCAGGAATTCCCCGTTGACGCTTGTCTTAGCCGAGGCACCCCCACCCACCCCGCCGGAGGTCAAAAGCAGCAGTCTGGGGGGTTGTCCTCAAGGGGGGGGGGATCCAGGTGGAAGGAAGGCGACGGAGGCTTACCTGCATGACTATCTCGTTGGGTAACTGCGCGGCGCGGAAAAGCTCTAGGACCCGCCCGTTGGACGCCACTTTCTTGGTGCTCTCCGTGTCGCAGTAGGAGAAGAGGTCGCAGTAATAGCGCTGCTCCGTTTCACTCAGCGTTAAACCCTCCATCTTACGCCGGCCCTGCCCTGCCCTGGGGATCGATCTTACAACGGGGTAGAGTGGAGGAGGGAGCGGGGCCGCGCTCGCACGCGCGAAGCCGCCGGCGCCGCCTCCTCCTCCTCGCGCCAGTAGCGACCGGGGAGGAGGGGGGGGGGGGGGGAAGAAGGAGGCCTTCCGCCCCCCAAAAAAAAAAGAGGAACGAGAGCGCGCGTCCGTCTGTATGTATGTGTGAGTGTGTGCGTGTATGCCTTTCGCCGCCTCGGCTGTCGCTTGTTGATCTCGCGCCGCGAATCTGCCTGCCCGACAAGAGTTGCGGAGGAAGGTTCCAATCCAGAGGAAGCCCGACGACAGGGGGAGGAGGGAGGCGTGGCCACGCGTGCAAAGCGAAAAAAAAAAAGCGCCCAGCGCTGAGTCGGTCAAAGTCTCCTAATAAAGTTTCTGTACGTTTCTCTTCCGTGCCTTTGGCCACGCCCATTTTCCCTCCCTCGGGCGCTCTGGGGAAGGCGCGCGCAACCAAAGGGCGGACGGATTTAATTCCGCTCCCGGAAAAGGAGAAAGAGGAGGGATTAAAAAAAAAAGGCTGCCCGAGATCTCGCGCACGAGACCCGGATGCGAAGCTAAGAGAAGGTTTAGCTTTTCGCTCTGCTTTCTTATACGACAGAAGCGTTGGGGAGGGGCGGGGAGGGCGAGAGAGAGGTGGCTACACCGTCCTCTGACGGTTTGGAGGTCTGCTACAGTGTTCCTAAGTACTGTAGCGCCCTGTCGATGTCTAAATTTTGGAGCTTGCTCGTGCGATCAACTGAAGATGAAACAAGAATATCTTTAATGAAGTCTGCTGTGGATGATTGGTTCTCCTGCTTTGAGGATGATAGGAACTATAGTCCAACATAAGTGAAGGACACCAGATCAAGGAATATATTTATTGTTGATTTCTTGTATTCCACCTGGCAATACCTTATCAAAAGCACTTGACTAAACTTAAAAACAACAGAATCTTAAAAAGTAAAAGCCTATATTTAAATTTAACAAAAGACTGACCAATAAAGATGTGGCTTTACAGATTTTTCTAAAAATACAATTAAAAAGTGACACCCACAAGAGGATGTTGACTTCTGTTCACACCCAAGCGGTTACTTGGCAAAGTGATTTGCCATGGATTACTGGGAAGTTTTCCAATTTCCTAAATCTACCTGAAGATCCTGATGTTGCCTGTCAGTTTCTCATTCAAATTCTAACCACATTTGATCTTGCTTAGTTTGAGCTTTTTAAAAGCTTCTTGGTTGGGTCCTGCCGCTAGAGGCAAATGGAGTTTCTACAGTATTTTTCACATCTTGTGGGCAGCACAGAAGGCCTTCTCCCACATGCAAGAAAGGCTGGCCTCTGATTATTGTGCAAGGGTATCTTCAAAAGTCCATCTGCTTCAAAACAGCCAGAGAAGAAAGGAAGGAAAGCAGACTGAACGGAAGGAAGAGGCAGTCCCTCAGATCAGAGGTTTTCAATTTATTTCAGGCCATTGAATCTATTTTTTTTTAACAAACAGACAAACTCTGGAACTCTTTATTGAGAGGAATGGGACATTTGGATGTCAGGATACACTCTAATCTTTCCAATCTAACTTAGAAAAATTACTATAAAAGTTAATGGTAAATGTTCCCCTCACACATATGTGCTAATCGTTCCTGACTCTAGGGGGCAGTGCTCATCTCCATTTCAAAGCTGAAGAGCTAGCACTGCCCAAAGATGTCTCCGTGGTCATGTTGCCGGCATGACTAAACGCTGAAGGCACAGGGAACGCTGTTACCTTCCCACCAAGGTGGGCCCTATTTTTCTACTTGCATTTTTACATGCTTTTGAACTGCTAGGCTGTCAGAAGCTGGAACAAGTAACGGGCGCTTACTCGGTTACACAGTGCTAGGGATTTGAACCGCTGAACTGCCAACCTTTCTGATCAACAAGCTCAGCACCTTAGCCACTGAGCCACCGCGTCCTATCAAAATTGCTATAGATATGCCTAAAAACCAGCAGAGGCAGATATACACAGCTAAGCACATTAAAGTTTTCTTTTCTTAGAGAACCAACTGTAAATATGGTCAGTTCGTACCTAGATGCTATTTTTCAGGGAGATCCAGAGCAAAGGAAAAATCCCTCTAACACAAGCGACTAATGGGGAAAAACTACCTTCCCTACAAGGATCTAAGTTTAAGTCCTTGTGTGGAGATTTTCTCATTCCTACAGAACCCATTTAACTTTCCATGAGACTTAGGATTCCACAGAATCCAACTTGAAAACCTCACCTTAGGTATGGAGATCTATGAATCAGTACAAGGGAAGCCAGTGATGGCATGCATGATAGCGTCACCATACAAATGCTGCAATTTGTGTTAGGTATTGGACATAGTATGTAGTGGCATTTGCCTTGTGATATCAATCAATTATTTTGTTTTGTTTGGTGATATCATGTACAGGTATTTGATTTGTGATCCTTTGATGTTGAACAATGGGACATGTATACGGATTAGTTATGGCTATTGCAGTGCTCCCACATTCCTGATCAAAATGTGGCTACTTGGCAGCCTGCCTGTTCTTGTGATAACATGGGCTTTATAGTTCCCAACTGCCTATCTACCCTCTACCTATGCCATTTTGTTTCCCTGCTGCCTTGTGGTCTACCACCCCACCTGATCTTCACTATTTCCTTCCCGTTGCTGATGAGGCATGCCCAGTCTGGCTGCTGAATCAGTGAAAGTCAAGACCAGCTAAAGAACTCGCAGCTATGATTTTATGTTGTATAAGTAATAAAATTATAATGCTTCACAACTCCCATTAATGAAATTAATTTTAAATGTGGACTTTTTCTTTCCTTCCAGGTGGTTCTTCTTTTACCTTCCAGGTAAAAATTTCTATTAAGCATTGTTAAAGCTTATATTTCTACCAGGTTGTGGAGAAATCTTGAGCAGAGTTGAGAAGAGAATTTCCTTTCAACTGGTTCCACCCCATCAGCAATTCAGGTCTAGCCAGCCTTTTCACTCCCCACCTCTACTCAAGATTCCAGCACAGACATATAGAGATTTGACCCTCTATATGATAACAGTTCCCAAGACACTTTATGCTTCTTGCTAATATTACACATCATTCCTTCTTTAGAATTTAATTTAAATTAGGAACCATTTATGTACTACAGGTAGTCCTTGACGTACAACCATTTTTTTAGCAATCAAAGTTACAACCATGCTAAAAAGAATTGGTCGGTCCTGAACTTGCAGCAATCACAGAACCTCAGTTATGTGATTGCCATTTGCCACCTTCCCTGCTATATTTTTACAGAATTAGTGTTATACAGTGGTTAAAGTGCTAACCTATGAGCAGAAAGACCAAGGTTCTCTAGCCCTCTTTCAGGCAAGAAATCCAGCCGAGTTGTTTTGGGTCAGCTACTGCTTCTCAGCTCTAGGCTAGGAAGTAAAAAACACATCTATTTACCACCCATTGGTGGATCAACATGGTTGATTATTGTCCATAATCTTCATTGAAAAGACCAGCCTGTGGCACCTTGGCTTGGAATGCTAATATAGAAAGTATAGGCAAATGGGTATAGTGGTTCCTATGAAGTGTAGCTGAATCCAACAGAAAGTGCAAAGTAATCCTATGCATACTTACTGAAGAGAAAATTTCATTACAGGTAGTTCTTGTCTTATGCCCAGAATTGAGACCAAAATTTCCATTGCCAATCAAGAGTTACTACGTGAATTTTTCCTCATTTTACAACCTTTCTTTAATAGTTAAGCTAATCACTGCAGTTGAGATAGTAACACGGTTATTAAGAGAATCTGGCTTTCCTATTGACTTTGCTTGTAGGTAGTTGTGAAAGGTGATCACATGACCTCAGGATAGTGCAACTATCATAAATACATTCCAGTTGTGAAGCATCTCAGTTTTGATCATGTGACCGTGGGGATGCTGCAATGATCATAAGTATGAAAAACAGTCACAAGTCATTTTTTTCAGTGCTGTTGTAGCTTTGGAGGTTACTAAATGGATGATTGTAAATTCAGCACTATCTGTATGAGTTATAGATACAGCCACCATATCCCTGTAATGTTAAGTTGCTGTTGCTTCACTAATTGCTTTTTAAGAGGTGTCTCCTTTTATCACTGGCCTTTAACTTCGGGTTTCTCATTCTATTTGAGATATATTTTCCATCTTCTCTAGTCCATACATACCTTGCTGAATGCATGATCTTGCTCACTTGGTCAAGCAACCACTCTGATGAAGTGACAAGAACAGAAATGTGTCCAGCAACATTTGGCCGCTGTGTGCATGCTACCTTTCCAGTCACTTGATTTTCTTCTATTGCTGTTCTGATTTGTGCTATTGAACTAACATGACCACAGGAGAAAAGCAGCAGCAGCGTAATTAAAGAAAGATGAAATCAGGCTTCTTTTAAACAACCTGCACATTGGTCTCAGACCCATGGGATGTAAGCTGTTTTTGAAAGTTTGTGTTCTGCAATATTGCTTTCTCTAGCCATACTGGGACTGCTCTAATAATCTGCTTGCAGCTTGCCTCGCAGATATTATATAGGTCAACAAATGCCTCCAGAGAGAACCTGGTTTAATCTGCTATCACTAAAGCAGCACTAAGATACTTGAAAACGTGTACTAAGCCCTCTGTAAAGTAAACTGGCAATTGGGTAGGGTTTTTTTCAGCAATGGTCAGACAACTAGGTCTCACCAAGTTCGCAAGAGCAGTACCTATATTTAATGGTTTTGACAGGTGGATAAATTTACTGCTCTACCATTTGTAAAACTAATTCCTTCCCAAGGCCAAGCTCCTATCTTGAGAAGTGACTGAAATCCACAAATCACTGCACCTTAATAAATCCTGCAGTGAACTGTTAGGACATTATTGTGTCCATTTGCTGCCCCCTTACTAGTCAGAATATGAACTGGCAAAATAGGAGCTAATTATGGCAGCATACTTTTAAAGACCATGCGGAAGGACATATGCTCTGTACAGGGCTGCAGTCCTGAAGTTGGGGCAAAAAGGAACTCCATCAGGCTCATGAATGTTCATCATTTAAAGACTCCAGGGAGGTGGCTGGTTAAAAAGCCTGGTTAAAAAAAAATATTACAGCGAGGCGA